AGTATCGATTTTTTCCCCCACCCGTACTAAGTTCAGGTTCACTTCAGATCCTCACTTGTCAACTTTCACTTCAAAGCAGATGGCAACAGCAAAACTCTCAAGGCTTCCAATCAGCACTTTACTAACAAGTGTTTTTATACCATCTATGGTCGCAGTATTAAATGGAGGCAATCAACTAACCAAGAATACTTTTACAGCAGCCTTGTTAAAATGCAATACAACTAAAATGATCAATTACCAAATACCAATAAACTGATATACTAAATTGAAGATGATCATCTGAACCTCGTTAATGTCGAAAATAGACTTTCTTCAGCCTGTCGGCAGGACTTACTTCCAGTCTCTGGCGATGAAGTACTGCAGCTCCAGCAGTCTGTGCTCGCAGTCCTCCACCATCTTCTCAGTGTACAGATGTTCCATGAGACACGACAGGATCCTGCAGGATCAGGAAACAAACGCATTCACATCTCAGCCACACGGCGCAGCAGCCATAAGACCTTGAAAGGTTTTAAATTTGCTGGATCCCTCCACGAGGACTCACATGGGGTCGCCGCTGCGGATGTGTTTGCATGCGGTCTGGATGACGGACTCACAGGCCTCGTTAAGCGCCCGATCGATGCGGTAGTCGGCCCCGGGGTCGGCTTCCTGGATCAACGTTTGCAGCTGTGGACGGAAAAAATATCATAATAAAATCAAAAAGTGAGCGCAAGACATTGGGGCAGGTCAAACAGAGTTGTGTTCATGCAGGTAAATCTGTAAAGCGATATCTATGGAAATGTTTCTGTAACCATACAGTGAATATTATAAATGCCATCTCACCGCCTTCTGACAGCTGGGATCGATGGCGCCCATGTCTCCTCGGCCGACCCTCATTAGGCAGTGCAGCGTTCGTCCTTTGCGGTGCAGACCGGAGCAGTGACTCTCAATCTCACTGCGACAGTGCAGCACGATCTCAGGACTCAGAGAGAAATCCTCCATCAGCATCCGCCTGTAATCCATCATCTCACCCTGACACTCGCCGCTGACCACACGACCTGAAAAACACACACACACACTGTAGCTGTGATATCTTGTTTAAGCAGAAATATTCAAACACATTTCACAAAAACAACTCGAGGAACCAACCTGGAAACTGACTTCTGAGGTTAAA